GGATTTTCGCACAAAGCTACGCAAAGAACTACGTGCGCATAGCCGACCCTCATTTTGAACTGATACTAGTAGGAAGGAAGCAAGACAACAGTACCCAAGCAAGTCAACAGTACCGAAGCGAGTCAACAGTACCCACCGCTAGTGTAACATGGCTGTCTTTCTTATAGCGCAAAGTTCAGAGACGTTTTAGCAGCAATGGGACTCTTAACCATGAGCTATTGGATTCACATTCCGAACGCGCTAACTAATTGGCCAAAAACCTGAAAACAACACCTTCTGGCTTATGCAATGTTAAATACATAATATAAGATTGTGTTTCGACTTAAGGTCTACATATGGTTTTAGTTAAACCTAACTTACTAAACGTATTACTAATTAGTAAAACTAAGAATTTTATTAATTTATTTTTCTAAAGAAGCAGTATACATGAAAAAGGGTGTATATCATCAGCGTACAAAATAAGACGGCATTTGAATGAGGTGCTAATCACGTTTTCAATCTCACGTTTTCAATCATTTGTGACTTTGCGCTTTGAATATTGACCTTGCTAGATACACCAGGGAAAGGACGATCCATACTTTGCCTGCTAAATGCATAACTACGCATATCAAAAACAGGGATTATTTTTTTGTTGTTGATGTAAAGCACAACAACAACTTTAGCATCATAACAAATTTGTAAACATAATTAACAAAGATGTAAACATAATTATCAATACACACTTACATATATATTCTACTGAGTGAGGATTTGCTCGTTTACTATATGCGATTGTATTTTAAGTTGATTTTTCGTGTTACCTAGCTTGTTTTATTAGGTTTGCAACTAGAATTTAGAGTAGCAGATGTAAAAAACAACAACAAAAAACGATTCCAAGAATAATGTTACAAATGATCGTATGAATACTGAGTAAGTATAATAAAAAGAGCAACACAGGAACGACACCTTTTTAATTGTCTTTATATACATAAAACAGACTCCGAGTTTTCTTTTAACATTTCTACTTTATCACAATTAACAAGTTTTAACTTCATAACGTCTTTCAATCGATAAGTTAAAATACTGTCTATTGTTCGAAAAATAAACAAACAACAACAAAATACAAAGGGCCTGAAATATAAACTAAGATAATACACC